TTGTTTAATAAAAACTGGTTTCAGATTTCATTTCATTCATAATTATTTCCCATAAATATTTCCTTTCCTTTAACAGCGATTGAATAGCAGCACTTTAAAAGTAATAATATAAAAAACGATCAGCAACTACTATTTGCTATGTCTAAAAAAGAGATAAATTGATATGAAACCAATAACAGAAAAATGAGTCATACACCAATTAATTTGTGTAGTAGGGAAAAAGTGACCATTTTTTAAGAAATATTTTCGGCAAAGTTAAGGTACTGTACCTTAACTCAAATACTACACCAAAATTATCTTCTTTTTATTGTAAATATTTATTCTAAATGACACAATTATTTACAAATCTGTTAAATACCAGATAAAACTTAATGTAATAATAAGAAACATTTCTGTATTATTTATGACTTTATGATTACTTGAACACGCTTAAAGTTAATTTTGCTCAAAAAACCAGGCATTTGTTAAATCACTTTGGACAGGTTTTATTCAAACAAAGAGTTTTGTTTGTTTGTTTGAGTACGGGAAGGGGGTTGACTAAAAAAAAGAGAATTTTATTAAGAGTGCGAGAGTTAACTGATCAAACTGCATAGAATTGTTAATGTAACCATACCTGTTTGTTGTTTTTTTTTTTGCTTTGTTGACTTACGACAGGTAGCCAGGTTGGTTGGTCTTTTATTCAATGTGCATTCCAATTGTGGTTTTTAGTTAGTCAACCGTATCTTTGTTTTTCTCTAACTTAAACTCTCTCACACTCACTCTCTGCATACAAATTTATCAAAAAATATGGAAATAGTTACACTAGGCAACGGAATTTCATGAATTTTGTATGTTTCAAGCAAAAAATTTGACTTTTCAGAAAAGTACTTTTTTGGTACTTTTTTAAAATTTGATTTTTTTGCCTAGATTTTAATTTTTTTCATCAAATTAACATTTCTAAAGCAAAATTTCACATTTTTTAAAAAAGTACTTTTTAGGTACTTTTTAGAAAACCGTGGTACTTTTTTAAAATTTGCAATTTTGCAAAGATTTTCACTTTTTTTCATCAAATTAACATTTCTAAAGCAAAATTTCACATTTTTTCAAAAAGTACTTTTTTGGTACTTTTTGAAATACTATGGTACTTTTCTAAAATTTGATTTTTTGCCTAGATTTTTATTTCTTTTCATCAAATTAACATTTCTATAGCAAAATTTTAACTTTTTAAGTAAAAATTTCACATTTTTTAAAAAAGTACTTTTTTGGTACTTTTTGAAAAATTGTTTTTTTTTTTTAATTTTTGCCTTTTAAGCTTTAATTCTACAGAAATTCTTTAAAATTTAAAAAAGTTGGAAGTTTAAATTAAAATTCCCTTTAAATCTTTAATAAAAGCCTATAAATTTCAAAAAAGTACTTTTTTTGGTACTTTTTTAAAATTCGATTTTTTAATGGAATTTCATTTCTTTCCATAAAGTTAACATTTCTGAAGAAAAATTGTAAATATTTGAGTAAAAATTTCACATTTTTTTAAAAAGTACTTTTGTTACTTTTTTAAAATTGAAAATTTTTAGTGGAATTTCATTTCTTTCTATAACATTAACATTTTTGAAGCAAAATTTAAACTTTTTGAGTAAAAATTTCGCTTTTTTTAAAAAAGTACTTTTTTGGTACTTTTTGGAAAATTTTGTTATCAAAAGAATTTTGCGTTTTTATCTTTTATTCTTAAGAAATTCTTCAAACTTTAAGAAAGTTCATGAGTAAATCTTATTTCCCTATGAATTATTAATAAAAACCTTTAAATTTTCAAAATGTACTTTTTTTGGTACTTTTTTATAATTGAATTTTTTAAAGGAAATTCATTTCTTTTCATATAATTAACATTTCTAAAGCAAAATTCTAACTTTTTGAGTAAAAATTTCCCATTTTAAAAAAAGTACTTTTTTTGGTACTTTTTCAAAAAAAATATTTTATTAAAGAAAATTTAGTTTTTTCTACAGAAATTCTTATTTTATTTCTTAATTTTAAGAAACTCCATGAATAAATCTTATTTCCCTATGAGTTTTATGTAAAAAACTTAAAATTTCAAAAAAGTACTTTTTTTAGTACTTTTTAAAATTGATAATTTTTAGTAGAATTTAATTTCTTTCCATAAAATTAACGTTTCTGAAGAAAAATTTTAACTTTTTAAGTAAAAATTTCAACTTTTAAAAAAGTACTTTTTTGGTACTTTTTTAAAAATTTAATTTTTAATGAAATTTTAACTCATTTTGTTAAAAAAAAAGATTTCTAAGCATTTTTAAGTAAAAATATAACATTTAAACATTTAAGTAAAAAAATAACATTAATTTTTAATGAAATTTTAACTCATTTTGTTAAAAAAAAAGATTTCTAAGCATTTTTAAGTAAAAATATAACATTTCTGAAAAAGTACTTTTTTGGTACTTTTTTTAATTTTTATTAATAACCCTTTTCTTTTAATTTTATTATTAGTGTCACATTTTTCATTTTAATTATAATTTTAGCACAATTTTTATAACATTTTTATTTCATTAAATTTTTTTTGCGTATTTTTCTTCTTTTTTTGCCGTTTATTGACTCTATTCATTCATTTCATTTCAAAATAGACTCATGTATGAGCTACAATGAAATGTAATAGAAAAAAACTTGTTCACATGTCTAAAAGTCTCTTGGCCTTTGCAACTGGATTTAGCCGCATTTTATTTGTAGCAGTTCTTTTTTGTGTGTTTTTGCTAGGTTCATATGTGTGTTGTTGTTAAACAACAAAACTAAAAATAACTTTAGAAAAATGTAAGAAAAAACAACTAACAAAACTTATTACTTGTTGTAGTCAGTGAACTAAAGAAATTGTCGTTTTTTGTATACATTTTACTAAGTGGCGGAAAAGAGGAAAGAATTCTTTAACAAGGAAACAGTTAAGTTATTGAATCTTAAAAATTTGTTTCTCTGGAGACCAAAAAAAATGTCAAACATTTTTAAATTTTAAATAAAAAGTAGCAAATAATTTGTTAGTTATAAGAAAATTTTTATTTGATTTGTAAGTAAATTTTAACTAAAATAATATTCTAAATGAAAAAGTATTAAATTTTAAGATTTTTTAAAAAAAGTAGTATTTATACTACTATTTTAAAATTCTTAAATATAACACATTTTCGTATTTATTTCAGTTGTAGATAAAATTCTATGAAAAATTTTTAATTTTTATTATTTTTTAAAAAAGTAGTATTTCTACTACTATTTCAAAATTGTATAATTTACCTAATTTTCGTATTATTTTTACTCCTGAATGAAATTCGAAGACAAGTTATTAATTTTCTACCTTTTTTAATCGTTTTTAGAAAAAGTAGTATTTTTACTACAATTTTAAAATAGTAAAATATAACTCATTTTTCAAATTTTTTTACTCAGTAATTAAATTTAAGGCCTAATTTTTCATTTTCAACTTTTTTAACCATTTTTAGAAAAAGTAGTATTTCTACTACTATTTTAAAATTGTAAAATATAACTAATTTTCCTAATACTTTTACTCGGAAATAAAATTCAAGGCCAAATTTTTCATTTTCAGCATTTTTAATCATTTTTGGAAAAAGTAGTATTTCTACTACTGTTTTAAAATTGAAAATTACGACTCATATACCTAATTTTTTACTTGGAAATAAAACTCAAGGCCAAATTAATTTTCTACATTTTTTTAAGTATTTTTAGAAAAAGTAGTATATCTACTACTAATATAGAATTCTAAAATACAACTAATATTCTTAATATTTCAACTCGGAAATAAAATGCAAGGCAAAATTTTTCATTTTCAAACTTTTTTAATAATTTTTAGAAAAAGTAATATTTATACTACTATTTTAAAATAGTAAAATATAACTCATTTTTTGACTCGGTAATAAAATTTAAGGCCAAATTTTTCATTTTCAACTTTTTTAAATCATTTTTGGAAAAAGTAGTATTTCTACTACTATTTTAAACTTGTTAAATATAACTCATTCTCCTAAAATTTTTACTCGGCAATGAAATTAAAGGCCAAATTTTTAATTTTCTAGCTTTTTTAAGCATTTTTAGAATAATTAGGATTTCTACTACTATTTTAAAATGGCAAAATATTACTCATTTTCATATTATTTTTATTCCTGAATGAAATTGAATGTAAAATTTTTCATTTTAAACTTTTTTTAATCAATTTTAGAAAAAGTAGTATTTTTACTACTATTTTATATTGTATAATATATAATTACTACCGAATGAAATTTAAGGCAAAATTTTTTATTGTAAACCTTTTTTAAGCTATTTTAGAAAAAGTAGTATGTCTACTACTATTTTTTGTAAAATATAAATGTAAAATATTACTCATTTTCATATTATTTTTTCTCCTGAATGAAATTCAAGGCAAAATTTTTCATTTTAATCCTTTTTTAATCATTTTGATAAAAGGTAATATTGCTACTACTATTTTAAAATTGCAAAATATGACTCATTTACGGCTCATTTTTGTATTACTGTTAATTATAGATAAATTTCCATGCAATATTTTTAATTTTTATCATTTTTGGAAAAAAGTAGTATTTCTACTACTATATAATATAACTCATTTTTGTATTTCTTTTACTTCTGGATTAATTTTCATGCCAAATTTTTCATTTTTTATAATTTTTGAAAAAGTAGTATTTCTACTACTATTTTTAAATAGAATTTAAGTGTTATTTTCATATTCTTTTAACTTGTAGATTAATATGCAAGTAAAATTTTCCATTTTTATCACATTTAAAAAAAAGTAGTATATCTACTACTATTTTTAAATTGATAGTTAAAGCTTATTTTGAAACAAGTTTTAAGCCTTTAATTAATTTTTCATATTTTTTTTGTATTTTTTGTTGCCCTGTGTTAATTGTCTCTCTCTTTTTTAATAAATATTTGTTTGTTGTTGTTGCTAAATTTCAAGTTAATTTCGTCTTACGAAAAACAGTTTTTATCTAGAACAAAAAAATTTTTAAACGCACCTTTTTTATTGTAATTAAACAAAATTTCCAATAATTTTCTTTGAAAAGAATAAACAGCAGCACGTGAATTTGTTGAAGAATATTACTTTTTATTAAGGTTGTTCTTTAACACAACAGTGACACACTTTAAATTCTTTATAAAGATTTGTAATTTATAACAATTTTTTTAACTTTTATTCAAAATTTTCGGTTTATTTTCTTTTGCTATAAATTCGTTAAGATTTTTTCGTAAATTTTTTTTTAAGAAAAATTACGTTTATTTTTCTTATTTACTTTTTTTAACTTTATTATTTATTATCTTCTCTTTTTATGCTTTTCTATAATATTTTTTTCTTCTTTATTCTTTTAACACTTTGTCGACCGCCTTTGTTTTCACAAACGTTCTTAACACGTTCGTTATCGTTAAACAACTAACTGCTTAGTATATGAACGTTAGTACTCAAACCAAAAAACAAATATTCAAACGTTGACGTTACTTGTATGATTAACGTTTTAATTCTGTTTCAAATAAAACGCGCCAATACAATAAAATGCAATCAGTACGCACTCATACAATTACACGCTACGCACACCAACCAACTCACTCAATGTTTATAGGGAGAGTGTGTGTTTTCAAATTGCTCTTTTTTTTATTTTGTTTTATTGGCCTTTTTTCTCGTGGGTTTTTCTTTTTAGCCACCACCGTTATCTGTACAAATGTGTTGTTAACGCTCTGGTGTTTTAATAAGAACTAAATTCAATAAAATACTCCAACTTATTGCTTGGATTCATGTTGTATATTTTAGATAAAGCAACATTTATCACACCAACACACACGCGTCCGTTCTCTCTCAAAAAACAAAAATTCCAGTTAGTTTTCTCACTTACAGCAAGCAACTCATTTCGAAATTAATTTTCTCAGTAACAGTTGCCCAATTTCCGGAGAATTTGTATTTTATATTAACAAAGGCACCGTTAAAATGTTGCTGGCCGTTCGAAATGCTCTCTTCAATGTTGCTAAGCTTAAAAAATGTTTTAAAACACGAACAGCAACAGTAAAACCTAAATAAAGAGCATTCAAAGTATTCTAGTCTAAAGTCTAGTCTTTATTCTAGTCTATAGTATAGTCTATAGTCTAGTCTATAGTCTAGTCTATAGTCTAGTCTATAGTCTAGTCTATAGTCTAGTCTATAGTCTAGTCTATAGTCTAGTCTATAGTCTAGTCTATAGTCTAGTCTATAGTCTAGTCTATAGTCTAGTCTATAGTCTAGTCTATAGTCTAGTCTATAGTCTAGTCTATAGTCTAGTCTATAGTCTAGTCTATAGTCTAGTCTATAGTCTAGTCTATAGTCTAGTCTATAGTCTAGTCTATAGTCTAGTCTATAGTCTAGTCTATAGTCTAGTCTATAGTCTAGTCTATAGTCTAGTCTATAGTCTAGTCTATAGTCTAGTCTATAGTCTAGTCTATAGTCTAGTCTATAGTCTAGTCTATAGTGTAGTCTATAGTCTAGTCTATAGTCTAGTCTATAGTCTAGTCTATAGTCTAGTCTATAGTCTATTCTATAGTCTAGTCTATAGTCTAGTCTATAGTCTAGTCTATAGTCTAGTCTATAGTCTAGTCTATAGTCTAGTCTATAGTCTAGTCTATAGTCTAGTCTATAGTCTAGTCTATAGTCTAGTCTATAGTCTAGTCTATAGTCTAGTCTATAGTCTAGTCTATAGTCTAGTCTATAGTCTAGTCTATAGTCTAGTCTATAGTCTAGTCTATAGTCTAGTCTATAGTCTAGTCTATAGTCTAGTCTATAGTCTAGTCTAGTCTATAGTCTAGTCTAGTCTATAGTCTAGTCTATAGTCTAGTCTATAGTCTAGTCTATAGTCTAGTCTATAGTCTAGTCTATAGTCTAGTCTATAGTCTAGTCTATAGTCTAGTCTATAGTCTAGTCTATAGTCTAGTCTAGTCTATAGTCTAGTCTAGTCTTTAGTCTAGTCTATAGTCTAGTCTATAGTCTAGTCTAGTCTATAGTCTAGTCTAGTCTATAGTCTAGTCTATAGTCTAGTCTAGTCTATAGTCTAGTCTAGTCTATAGTCTAGTCTATAGTCTAGTCTATAGTCTAGTCTATAGTCTAGTCTATAGTCTAGTCTAGTCTATAGTCTAGTCTATAGTCTAGTCTATAGTCTAGTCTATAGTCTAGTCTATAGTCTAGTCTATAGTCTAGTCTATAATCTAGTCTATAGTCTAGTCTATAGTCGAGTCTATAGTCTAGTCTATAGTCTAGTCTATAGTCTAGTCTATAGTCTAGTCTATAGTCTAGTCTATAGTCTAGTCTATAGTCTAGTCTATAGTCTACTCTACAGTCTAATCTATAGTCTAGTCTATAGTCTAGCTTATAGTCTAGTCTATAGTCTAGTCTATAGTCTAGTCTATAGTCTAGTCTATAGTCTAGTCTATAGTCTAGTCTATAGTCTAGTCTATAGTCTAGTCTATAGTCTAGTCTATAGTCTGGTCTATAGTCTAGTCTATAGTCTAGTCTATAATCTAGTCTATAGTCTTGTCTATAGTCGAGTCTATAGTCTAGTCTATAGTCTAGTCTATAGTCTAGTCTATAGTCTAGTCTATAGTCTAGTCTATAGTCTAGTCTATAGTCTAGTCTATAGTCTAGTCTATGGTCTAGTCTATAGTCTAGTCTATAGTATAGTCTATAGTCTAGTCTATAGTCTAGTCTATAGTCTAGACTATAGTCTAGTCTATAGTATAGTCTATAGTCTAGTCTATAGTCTAGTCTTTAGTCTAGTCTATAGTCTAGTCTATAGTCTAGTCTATAATCTAGTCTACAGCCTGGTCTATGGTCTAGTCTATAGTCTAGTCTATAGTCTAGTCTATAATCTAGTCTGTGGTCTAGTCTATAGTCTAGTCTATAGTCTAGTCTATAATCTAGTCTAGTCTATAGTCTAGTCTAGTCTATAGTCTAGTCTATAGTCTAGTCTATAGTCTAGTCTATAGTCCAGTCTATACTCTAGTCTATAGTCTAGTCTATAGTCTAGTCTATAGTCTAGTCTATAGTCTAGTCTATAGTCTAGTCTATAGTCTAGTCTATAGTCTAGTCTATAGTCTAGTCTATAGTCTAGTCTATAGTCTAGTCTATAGTCTAGTCTATAGTCTAGTCTATAGTCTAGTCTATAGTCTAGTCTATAGTCTAGTCTATAGTCTAGTCTATAGTCTAGTCTATAGTCTAGTCTATAGTCTAGTCTATAGTCTAGTCTATAGTCTAGTCTATAGTCTAGTCTATAGTCTAGTCTATAGTCTAGTCTATAGTCTAGTCTATAGTCTAGTCTATAGTCTAGTCTATAGTCTAGTCTATAGTCTAGTCTATAGTCTAGTCTATAGTCTAGTCTAGTCTAGTCTATAGTCTAGTCTATAGTCTAGTCTATAGTCTAGTCTATAGTCTAGTCTATAGTAGTCTAGTCTATAGTCTAGTCTAGTCTATAGTCTAGTCTATAGTCTAGTCTATAGTCTAGTCTATAGTCTAGTCTATAGTCTAGTCTATAGTCTAGTCTAGTCTAGTCTAGTCTAGTCTATAGTCTAGTCTATAGTCTAGTCTAGTCTATAGTCTAGTCTAGTCTATAGTCTAGTCTATAGTCTAGTCTAGTCTATAGTCTAGTCTATAGTCTAGTCTATAGTCTAGTCTATAGTCTAGTCTATAGTCTAGTCTAGTCTATAGTCTAGTCTATAGTCTAGTCTATAGTCTAGTCTATAGTCTAGTCTATAGTCTAGTCTATAGTCTAGTCTATAATCTAGTCTATAGTCTAGTCTATAGTCGAGTCTATAGTCTAGTCTATAGTCTAGTCTATAGTCTAGTCTATAGTCTAGTCTATAGTCTAGTCTATAGTCTAGTCTATAGTCTACTCTACAGTCTAATCTATAGTCTAGTCTATAGTCTAGCTTATAGTCTAGTCTATAGTCTAGTCTATAGTCTAGTCTATAGTCTAGTCTATAGTCTAGTCTATAGTCTAGTCTATAGTCTAGTCTATAGTCTAGTCTATAGTCTAGTCTATAGTCTGGTCTATAGTCTAGTCTATAGTCTAGTCTATAATCTAGTCTATAGTCTTGTCTATAGTCGAGTCTATAGTCTAGTCTATAGTCTACTCTACAGTCTAATCTATAGTCTAGTCTATAGTCTAGCTTATAGTCTAGTCTATAGTCTAGTCTATAGTCTAGTCTATAGTCTAGTCTATAGTCTAGTCTATAGTCTAGTCTATAGTCTAGTCTATAGTCTAGTCTATAGTCTAGTCTATAGTCTAGTCTATAGTCTAGTCTATAGTCTAGTCTATAGTCTAGTCTATAGTCTAGTCTATAGTCTAGTCTATAGTCTAGTCTATAGTCTAGTCTATAGTCTAGTCTATAGTCTAGTCTATAGTCTAGTCTATAGTCTACTCTACAGTCTAATCTATAGTCTAGTCTATAGTCTAGCTTATAGTCTAGTCTATAGTCTAGTCTATAGTCTAGTCTATAGTCTAGTCTATAGTCTAGTCTATAGTCTAGTCTATAGTCTAGTCTATAGTCTAGTCTATAGTCTAGTCTACTATAGTCTGGTCTATAGTCTAGTCTATAATCTAGTCTATAGTCTAGTCTATAGTCTAGTCTATAGTCTAGTCTATAGTCTAGTCTATAGTCTAGTCTATAGTCTAGTCTATAGTCTAGTCTATAGTCTGGTCTATAGTCTAGTCTATAGTCTAGTCTATAGTCTACTCTACAGTCTAATCTATAGTCTATTCTATAGTCTAGCTTATAGTCTAGTCTATAGTCTAGTCTATAGTCTAGTCTATAGTCTAGTCTATAGTCTACTCTACAGTCTAATCTATAGTCTAGTCTATAGTCTAGCTTATAGTCTAGTCTATAGTCTAGTCTATAGTCTAGTCTATAGTCTAGTCTATAGTCTAGTCTATAGTCTAGTATATAGTCTAGTCTATAGTCTAGTCTATAGTCTAATCTATAGTCTAGTCTATAGTCTAGCTTATAGTCTAGTCTATAGTCTAGTCTATAGTCTAGTCTATAGTCTAGTCTATAGTCTAGTCTATAGTCTAGTCTATAGTCTAGTCTATAGTCTAGTCTATAGTCTAGTCTATAGTCTAGTCTATAGTCTAGTCTATAGTCTAGTCTATAATCTAGTCTATAGTCTAGTCTATAGTCTAGTCTATAGTCTAGTCTATAGTCTAGTCTATAGTCGAGTCTATAGTCTGGTCTATAGTCGAGTCTATAGTCTGGTCTGTAGTCTAGTCCATAGTCTAGTCTATAGTCTAGTCTATAATCTAGTCTATAGTCTAGTCTATAGTATAGTCTGTAGTCTAGACTGTAGTCTACTCTATAGTCTAGTCTATAGTCCAGTCTATAGTCTAGTCTGGTCTACAAGTTTTTGAAACATAAATTTTGTTACCTTTAAAAATAGTAGTAAAACTACTACATTTTTAAATATTTTTATTCTAAGATAATTTTCTGCCTTATTAAGTCTTTAGCCACAAACGACTATAAACTTGTCTTAAAAGTCGAAATTCCTAATTAAATCATTGGTTTTTTCTTTAGAATACCAAATTTCTCACTTTTTACTGCTTTACAAATAAAGATTTTATTTTCAGATAATAATAAATCCATATTTTTTTTATTTCCTTTTACAAGATTTTTCTGTTTGTTTCTGTTTTATTCTTAGAATATTTTTTAGTGTCATCTTGTGTCATATTTTTTTAATGTGTTTTCTTTAT